AATGCGTAATCATTTCATTGGCCCCACAGCTTGCTTAATAGTCTGGGGCGTTTGAATGGGGTGAGTTTTCCATGATCTTTTTTGAATTGTGTTAAATACCAAAGAGAGAGAGAGAATGGGTTATTTTTTATTTCATTTGAAGGACTACACAACGGGATAATTCATTCTTCAACCCAACCCAAGTGCAGGTAAGATTTGATCCCAAGTATGACTACGACCAACAAGAGATCTTACCAATTCACTGGTTGGCACCTTGCATGCTTGCAACGGGAATAGGTTGTGTACAAGAAAAATTCTTTTCCCCCAAATCGGGGATGAAACAGATATTCGGTCTGCACATAATATAATCCTTCAAATCCAACGGTAAGTTACTTAAATACCAAATAACCTATGTATATAAAATAACTTAAGGTTCTCATTTCCCTCAAATTCCCAGAACTCCTTCTATTGTCATTTCAACCCTCAACTTGCTACGAAGTCCCTGAACCTTCACTGACAACGCTGCACTCCATCGCCAGTCACCAATCTGAAATTCCCCAGCTGGGNGGGAATGAAGGACTCCCCATCCCGAACGAGGACAGGGTAGGAGATTCTGGATACAGGAAGGAACAGGGAAGGGGTGCTCCGCGCCATTGTCATTCCTAGTAATCTCCAAACTACAAAGATAAATCTTATTCTAATTTGATCTGCACCTTTTCCATGTCTCCCAACCTATTGAATAGCCACAAGTTTGATGACGACCTCAAGCATACAAGGCAAAGCCGAAGCATGCAAACCTTACAAACATTGCGGATGATCACCGATTCACCTACACCTCCAACAATAATACTTGTCATTTTGTAAAGTCATGTACTAAAACACCCCCCCCCCCCCTATAGCCTCATAGATTTACTATAGTTTTTCATTTTACTAAAACACCACAACTTGCAACTAATTTAATTAATAGGCATTTATTAGATAAAAGTTGGAAAACGGTAATTCTGACCATCATGCCGCTCATTCTAACAAATTTAATCGGAAAAAAAGTGGAAATATCTTTCTTGCCCACTACTCTATTCTATCAATTCTGTTCTTCGTTCAAAGAAAGAAAAATGCACTAATAAAAATGAACCCAAATGTTTTTGTTGATTTTGTTCTATCTTTTTGTTAAGGTGGTGTTTGATAAATTTGAAATTTTAGATCTGAAAAGTTAAAAAGATATTTTTTGTCTGAAATCTGATAAACCCTTTACTTTTTAGAGGCTCTGAATTTATAAGTTTGTTTGTGTTAGATCAACCCTTTACCATCTGAAATTCACAGATTTTAATATTTTACCCCTAAAACATACTATTTGAAAATGTTGAGTTCAATTTGCATTATCTCATAAAAAATAATTTTCAACCTCAAAATAATATTGAAACAATACAAATTAATAATTAAAGATTACTAATTAATAAATGAAATAGTTAAAATTAAAAAAAAATTAATGACTATAAAAATATTAAAATAATTATTAATTAATAATTTACACAAATAAAAATTAAAACAATTTTAAAAATTAATGAAATAATTAAAAATTACTAGTTAATAAAAATAATTAATAAATAATAAATAACACAAGAAAAATTAATAAAAAATAATTAATGTTTAATAAAAATATTAAAATAATTAATAATTAGTAAAAATAATTTATAAGGGGGAGAGAGAGAGAGACAGAGAGAACTGCCGCCACTACAAGTTGCAGCGGCAATGGCCAGAAGATAGTGAGAGAGAGAGAGAGACTGCAAGTTGTAGCGGCGGTGGTGGGAAGACACGGAGAGAGAGAGAGCAAGAGAGAGAGAGAGAGAACTACCACCACTACAAGTTGCAATGACAGTGGTGGGAAGATGGGGGAGAGAGAGAGAGAGAGAACCACCGCTACAAGTTGCAGCGACGGTGGCGGGAAGATAAGGGAGAGAAAGAATCACTACTGTTGAGAGTTGTAGCGGCGGTGGTATGAAGATGAGAGTGAGAGGGGTCAAATGGGGTAGGGGTATTTTTTATTTTAGGCCACATCTAAAACATGTCTAACCACGTTAAGTGATGGGCCTAAGTCTTAAAATTTCATATTTGAAAAACTTTTCAAATGCAACACCAAACAAAGGCAGCGTCTGAAAAGCAACATTTTCATATTGAGATGTCTAAAAAGTGATAGCAAATACCACCTAAGTTAAAACCGAACAAACTCTGATAAATTTAGAAACCAAATATTTAAGTATTAAAGGCACCTTTGGAATAAATGACCACTTATCTCTAATGAGCTTGTGAAACTTTTCTTAACTAAAATACACTTGTTTTTTAATATCACCCCATTAAATAGAATCCATCTGCAGAGGTGGTCCTCACAAAATTTTCCCTAGGCTCCCTTTGGAAGGAGTACAAATACAAATATGTAGAGAGCAAAACCTTATATTTTATTTATTTTGTACGTATTTATACTGTATATATTTATATTTGTACTCCTTCCAAACTGAGCCTTAACATCTTTGTAACACAGCCATGCATTTGAATTTTTCATTCATGGGAAAATGTTCCCAAAGCAGGATTGTGAGGATGGTGTAAGGACAAATTTTGTGATAATGAATGATGATTCCCATTTGTAAGGGCAGAAACTACTATTCACCTCATTCAATTCTTTTCCATTAATAATTAAAGTATTAACTACCATTCCCTCATTAAATTTAAGGTATATTCTCAACAACAAATTCTATTGAGTATATCTATACCAATATGACAATATAAAACCATGTTCATTATAATGAATTTAATAATGAATCAAACCATGATGCCATGATTCAATAAAATTTTTAACATGTAAATATACACAAAAAAATTAGGGTAATTGTCCAACACCCACCATCACTTTTTCTAAACTATCTTAAATCCACCACAACTTTTCAAAACGTCTAAAACTCACCATGTCAGTGAGATTTTATTTTCTAAAACTCACCATCTATTACAACATTGTTAAAGTTGAATGAACCAAATTGTCCACATCAACCTAAATGCATATTTCATGACTAAACTGCCCCTGAATGGTGAATATGCCTGTTAAACAATTTTTTTGATCGAAATGCCCTTAAATTTGGGTTTTGGGTAAATTTGGAAGCAACACTAAAACAACAAACCTTGCAGCATCTGAATCTCAGTATAAGATCTTTGACGGTAGTTCCTTGGCTTCTCAATCTCAATGGAGGTCTTTCCCTAGAAAAATAGAGAAAGTAAGGAAGAAAGAAACGGTGTCTTCTGAGTCCAAGTTTGGAGGTTTTCCTACTGAAGTGGAAGATTTCAATGTTCAAAGGATGAGATTGTAGAAACAGAGTTCTTTCTAAGCAAAGCAAGAGGTTGTAGGAAAAGAGGAGTGAGAGCATCCCTAATAATACGACTGGTGAGCCAATTATTCCCACAAGAAAGGTCATGGAAAGCCTGAGATGTTTAGTTCAGCTGCAACAACTCCAGTTGAGCAACTTCAGAAGGTTAGGCAGTCAAAAGGTAATCAGGAACCCCTGTACAATTACTTTAGAAAAATCCTGTGAAAGAACCTTCTGGGAGTTCCAGCAAGGCAGATTTTGATATTGGTTCATTGACGAAGATGGTAGACAATCATGGCTTTGGTAGGTTCTCTAAAGCACAATGTAACCGAGTTGGGTTTGTTAGATGAAAGAAAAATCCTGTAAAGGAACTTTAATGGTGTATGTGTCTGGGTTTCTAAGGGTTCCTGTGAATCAAGGTCATCTGGTTCTACACCAATCTCTTCCCCTATTGCAAAGCCTAGAGACCTAACTGTTGAGGTAGGGTGTAGATTTCCTGGAATCGATGAACTATTGGCTTTTGGTGTAGCAATGCTTTTGAGAGATGGGTTCACCTTAAAAGATGCAGAAATGGTCAGAGCCATAAAATTCTTTGATCCCTTTGAAACGGACGGCAACCTTGCCCTCGCCAGCTTAAAGTTATGATCTTCATTCTCTTTTTGCTCATAGGAGACTTGGGGAGACGTTAATCATTCGTTGCAACCCGAATTCCTTCTCAACAAATCTGAGTTACATTTATCAAAGATGAATTAGGAAAAACAATCAATATCGATGATGAGAGGTAATAATCCACCGTTTTTCTTCTCAGATGATGAGAAAGCAACAGCCGGTGAAAAGTTGTGGACTGTACCACTGCTCTTCTTCTCAGACGATGGGAACAATCTTCATGAGCATCTGACCGTTCTTCTCAGAGGAAGGTACAAGAAAAGCAATGACCAGTGAGAAGTTGCAGACTGTTCTTAGATGTACCATATTCTTCTTCAAGTTTTCAAACAAAGGGGAAGCAGCAGCCGATGGAGAAAGAAAGTACTAATAGCAGCTAATGCTTGGATTTTGGGTTCAAGATTGACGGGTAATTTTGGTATATTGCAAAATTGACCAAATATAATGAAGGTAAAATGGTAAATTAACATTGCTCATTAGTCAAGTTACTGTTATCTCACTGACATGGTAAGTTTTGGACGTTTCTAAAAGTTGTGATGGGTTTAAGAGAATTCAAAAAAAGTGATGATGAGTTTTTGGACAATTTTCCAAAAAATTAAAAAAGAAATTGTAAGAAAATTTGAATATACCTCTAAATATTCAAATATTCTATACTAATCGTATTAAAAACGTGATAAACAAGAAACATTTTTTAGAATAGAAAAAACAAAAAGTTTAAAGCCAACCCAAACAAAAAATTGTTTTGACTAGGAGAACCTTTCAAACCAAATGTGTCAGCTTGATGTTATAACTCAATGATAACAATTAAAAAAGAAACACAATAATATACAAAACATAAAAACTTTAGACTGAGTTTCGAAAGAGTACAAATCCAAATATGTAAAGTGCAAATACATACAAAATAATACAAAACACAAGGTTTTGCACTCTACATATTGTATTTGTACTCCTTCCAAACTGAGCCTCAAGAACACATTTACACAAATATAAAATATTGTAAATAAAATATTAAACAATCACCATGATCTAAATAGCCAAGTGCAAAGCATGTACACATTTCGCTAATACTTTTAAATATGCATTACATTGATAAACCAGGCCTGGTGCAAGCAATCAATCCAGCCCGTAAATAGTTCTAAAATTTCAGGTTCAAGAGTAAAATCAACCCCCCCGCCACAAACCCAAAAGAGAAAGTGATGTCCCCACAAACAATTAATGAAACACCTCATTACCCTAGATAAACTGTTATAAAGACGTTAAAATGCTTACAGACTTCCAGATTGAAATGGAAATTCCAATCAATGGGTGTGATTGTGTGAATAATTGATAATTCCAATAATCAGGAAAGCAGAAACCATTCCCAGTAAGAAAACGAATGTAAACCAGCTTGCTGCGAGTGACTGCTTGCTTACCAAACCCCAACCAGGACAGGTTGCAGCCATAACAAGACACACAAGGAAACTCCTCATACTTGTCTGACAAACCGTCTTTAGTGCTCCCACATGTAATAATCACATCGACTTTGACTTGGATAGAGGAGCCAGAGCCACCATATGGATACATCATCCTACTATCCATAGCTCCCTTCTCTCTATTGGTAGGAAACAGGTACTCTGCAGCAAAGGTAGGACGCGCAGGAACGGAATGTAACAGATACTGAAGTCTGGAAAAGGATGCTTTTTGTGGCCCACCTGAGATGAAACAACGATGACGAAATGATGAAAATTTTAGTGAAGATTTCTTCCAGAAAAACAGTTAAACCTGTGGATAAAAAATCCTTCTAGCCCCTCTGCTGCCTTCAGCACAAACCAGAATCCCAGAATTCACAGGAACAAGCTGAAGGGATTAATAGAAGCAGAAGTTCTCAAGATTTTATAGGGTTGCAGTGGCATTAACTATTAACTGCAAAACCACTAGCAATACTATCTTTACGGATATAAAATAAAGGAGAGGTAAGCCCACATCCTCTGGTCAATTTAACTTCGCATTATTGGACTTTGTTCATCTGTGCAACAAGAATCAGAACAGGAATGCCGGTTCCTGACAACAGAATGGCACCGAGGATAGTGAAAGCTACCTCTTGCCAGGGCCTGTTGCTTTCCTCCCTCTTGAAAATTTTTACTTGAAGAAGAAATGTTATACAAAGCATCCTGTCCACCGCTTGCATTTGCCCCATTGCCATTGTCCTGGATTAGTTGTCATAACATTTAAATCAGTGAAAAAAAAAACACAACTAAAAAAGAAGCAACAAATTGAAATGATGGAAGAAAGTGAATTGCTCAAAATAACAAGACCTTAAAAAATGGAGCCAATTCTTCCTCAATGGAAGATCCCTCTGGAAGAGTGTTACACCTGCTTAACCCAAGAGCAGGCAGAGCCAGAGGAAGAGCAGGACCAGGCAAACCCTCAATATTATCATAATTGCTATTGCAGGCCAATGGATCAAGAAACAAGTTATCAGCACCATGTACTGTAGGATCTTCCAGTGGAAGCTCCAGATCTTTCAATTCTAAAAAGGATGAACTACCCCAGATATGGGTTTGATCCAGTGGATATTCAGCTTCCAAACAACTGCTAGGGAAATGAATTTTATTCAGCTCTTCCAAGGTGATTATGTCCTCCAAGGAATTGTAAAACCCATATCCATCCAAATGAGCAACTCCAACATTGGATGATTGTGGACTCTGCAAGCAAATTAAGCAAAATACAAAGTTTAATATCATCCTGAATATATATATATAAATATAGCTGAACAGATAAATAAGTTTCAAATTTATATCATGATATCATATGATTAATTACAAAAAGAAACACAACGCTAAATTTTCAAAATAGACTAAAGAAAAAGATCGCAAGTAACATAATGGACTTCTAAAGTAAAATCATAGCTGGTTCAGGGATATAGATCTGATCTTTGCTGTGGTGAAAAGGCAAGGAATTTTCCTTTAAAGGGGCAAGATTTTCATTTATGGCTGTTTCAGTTGAATATGAATATGCTATTGGAAATTTCTCCAATAGGCTTTGATCAGCAAAGGCATGATCTTTAGTTCATTTAATTAAGATGATATTTAGTTTAAAACCCAAATTGCAGAACTCGTGATTTCACAGAATCCTCAAGAAATATTCAAGTATTCATTTCTTTAACTACTGTTAGATTTTCCCAGGCTTCAACAACTTTTGTTTGCAGATGAGAGCACTGGTTGGTACCACGCTAAAATATAGGGTTAATATTTGAGGAAGGATAGATCCATATCAAATCTGAGAGCAGCCATTAGGTCCATACAGTCCACCCCTCCCGCAACCCTGAATGGCCAAGACCAATAATGGATAATGGCCTAAGTAATTGTTAAAACATAGAGGAACTTAGACCAATGTTGATTAGTAATCTGATGTACAAGTGTCAACCTATTTATGGATCTCAGCCACATCTAATATAGGTCCGAGAAAAACCTATTGGTTTTATCAAAGTATTTCTCTATAAATCTTGAGAATTTAGTTAGGTACAACTTAGTCAGGTTGTTCTGGACCTCAGCAACATGGACATAGAGCCAGCCCAACCCAAGGTCAAAACCTAAGCTCACCAACCCAAGCTTAGTTTATCAAGCTAAAACCAATAAACCTTCACCTGGGCCCTTGCCAGATGATCAGACCCCAGGTTGGTCGGGCTTGGAAGTATACATATACATAGTTACAAACATAGCATAAATATACAATGTACGATGCATACATGGAATAGAAGAAAGTCAGGTGGGGCATGGGTGGGCTTGGGCTACCTGAAGCCGCAACTGAAGTTGACATTAAACCTAAGCTTTTCAGGCCCAGGACCATCCCATCCAAAAACCATCTTGGGCTGGGTCAAGTTACATTGCTAAATGTAACTTTAACATAACTTACTATAATTTGTTGTTCTCATATATGTAATAGTCCTAGCTCCCATGACCAAAACACACACACATGAAGGAACCTAATAATTGCCCCATTTCCAAGACCCTCCTATTAATTTTTTCCATAAGCATTACCACTCAAATTTCATATATTGCTCAGTGTTGTCAACAAGTGAGGCATCACCAGTCATTTTGTGCTCCGTAGGCACTCAATGACCAGCCATTTTGCCCTCCTGTCTCAAAAAATTTTGCTTTCCCTAGGCAATAGGACAACCAGCCTAGTGAGTAATCAACGACTGGGTGAGAATGCAATTCCTGTCTGAGAGCATCCAATTCATGTAAAAATGACAGGTCATACCCATGTCCAGTCCACATCCCCCCCAAAAGACCCACGAAAGCTAGAACTGGCATTGGTTTTTTCTTTTGTTTGTTTTTTCTCTTGAGAAGTGAACCAATATTGGGTAATGGCCCTAACAATATAAAGATGGTTATAATATTATTCTAAGAGGTAGAGATAAACAGAAACACAGTACTTTAAAATAATTTTGCGGTCAACTAAGCAGACCAGTAATTACTTTACATGGTTGACCTATTAGACGCTTAGTAGCCTTTGTCAACCACATTCAGCGTATCAACTCACTAGTTAATGATGCAAATGCTATTGACTCTCAATTGAAATAATTAATTGAAACTTTAAAACATTGATATTACTAATTAGAACAGTAACCCAGCATTAATTTCTTACTTTTGACAACAACCCCAATCCATGGAGCTCTTGTAATAACTAACAATATTCCTGTGTCTGATTTTGTTTCCTTTTTTGGGGAGGACAAAGCAAGCCAAAAAGAAACAAATAAAATCCAAAAACAGTAAAGCCTTAATATTAACTACTTGGAATCGAGCATAAGAATCCTATCCCACTCTCACAAAATGCATGAACGTTAGAAATGTTCAAGATTGAAACAGCTCCCTGAAAAATAATTGCTTCCCTTCTTCAAGTGTCCAAATATGCCCAAGCGTTATGGAAAAACAATTAACTGATTACACAACTTAAACTGCTAAACTAAAAGAACATTCAAATATTCCTTTTTTCCTTGCTACACTGTAATACCCAATAGTTAAACACCACATACTGAAGACTGAATAACTGAAAATCATTTGTTCTTTTTAAAACTCAAGTCACATCAACCATGTCCATAATAGCTTCATGCTTCTCATAAGCACCCCATCTTTAATGGCAACTCTAAATGATTATGGTTTAAACATGTGCTAAAAGGTCCCTCAAAATGGATATTCAGGGTAGCCTTGTAATATAACAATCAACCATTTTTGGAACACTATATAAGCAAAGATATCAAAAGAAACTGATAGGAGGTGCCTGAGACAAAGATATTGAAAACCTTGAATAGATTTTTTAAATATAGCATGTAGGGCATTGTCTTACAGCTACCTTTCAGAGTAAGCAATATCCCTAAATATATTATGTCATGGCTGAGATGGAAGGAAACACAAACCAAATTCAAACACTTTTTTAGGGATTTTGATCTTTCAATATTTTTTTCTTTTCCTTATGCAATTCAACACAAGAATAATTTTGATATAGAAAAACAAGGTCACCAAGAGAAGGCTAACGCTAAGTGCAAACCAAATGTCTTTTTATCAGAACCAAACCAAAGGTTCTTTCACAATTTCATTCTCACAGTAAGGAATCCATTATATCATTTAGCCAGAAAAACACCATTACCTCACTGCTAACATTGCTGGTAGAAACCAAGACTTCTTCTTCATTGCCAAAAAGTGCCAACAATGAAACAATATCATCATCCTCAGGCAAGGTGTGATCTGAAGTATTATTAGAAGGCCCAGCTTGACAAGGAATAGGCTCCAAAGAAGACCCAAAAGCACTTCCAGGCACAATGGAAACATTTTGGTCATCATCCAGCAAAATAGATGGAGAACCAGGGTCAGCTAGAGGGAGAGAAAAAGGATCATTTACATCATCTTCCCAATCTTCCTCTCTAAATGGTGCTCCATATTGTTCACCATTTCTGGGGCCTGGCCCACTCTTCTGGAAGATCCTGCAAAGTACATATGCACCCTGCAACATAGAAGGTTGATGAACTCTTAGTAGTTGCTTGTGAAAAACTTAAAAAGGTTGAAAAACTATTACGATTACACTGAAAAACTAACACATTACATAACATGCAGGCATATATGCAATATTCAAGATTATACAATTTCCTTGTTAGGTCTCACATTGGCAAAGGAATATAATCATTTAATATACTGATGAAGAAGATCAATTCTAAAGGTTAGCTGCTGAAAATCAAGATTGAATAGCAATTGAACATCAAGGCAGCTAAAGATAAGGACAGTAAATATGATAAAAACAATTATGACAGATAAACAAAAATATGATAAATAACTAAAGGGGAAATTTTGATCTACAACATCAAAGTGAATTTGTAATTATCATAATGGATGCTGTACTATCATTCATATATAGTATCCAGAATCAGTAAGTATTCAAGGAAAAATCAATAACTTTAAACCGATGTGATTGTATGCACAATTTCATGCAGTATATTGAACATATCCAGTAGCTAGAAACATAAATAGAACATTATGCTTTTATAGTATCATAATTAGTTATTTAAATGGAAAAACTGCTAACAGTTGAGCCCTAAAATAATAGGATTGTACCTGAAAGATGCCTGCAGTAGCAAGATCTTTATCTTCAAGCCTGTATTCATGCATCACCCAATCGGTTCTAATTCCTCGGGGTGAACGGCCCGTGTGAAAAACAAGAGTTTTTTTCATTCCCACTATTTGTGAATTGTGACGAACAGTTCTATCTTTCCCAGTTGTTTTCCAGTATCCAATTTCAGTTGTACGATTTGTCCTTGGCCCACTTGCATATTTCTTATCTCTTGGACAAAAGAAATACCACTCCAGATCTCTGTTTTTCAAGCATGATTTTTCTGTGCCAAAAGAGAGGAGAAAGAATGGTATCCAATAAGAAACAAGGATTGAATGGAAACAAGAACTAATAAAATAAACAATATAGCACTTCTCACAACATTGTTAAGAGCTTAAAAGAATACACGAATATAATCAGAACATGTAACATTTGAAAAAAGGGAATACAGGACATTGTAGACAACTCATAACATCTGAAATGGAAAGCCATGAGAGTGGAAAACCTATGAATCATTCAGTAAATGACCAAAAACCTAAAAATCATTCAGTTGATAACCAACAGAAACATCATAAATTGTTATAAAAACTAGGGGTAAAACTGGGATGGGTACACACTGAAGATTTGAGAAATACTTAAATTTTGAAGGGCATTTTGTCTATTGACAAATTCAGTTGTTTTGAAAATAATTGCAAAAAACATGACAGGAAGAAATATTTTTTGACCAAATTGCCCTTAATTAAAGACAAAAAATCACTGTTTTCAAAACCGGACCGGGCCAGAAAAACCGGAACTGGTCACCTAACCAGTTCCGTTTTCCTCCAAAACCACTTTTTCCCCCAAAACCATTGATTTTGGTCAGCAAACCACTGAACCAGCCGGTTAACCGTTCGAACAGTTCAAACGGTTTTGACCGTTCTACAATTTTTTAATTTTTTTATTTTTTTGTCAGAGCGGGCCGGCCGTTCAGGTAACCGGACCCCTGACCGATTCGTTTTTAAAAACCATGAAAAAAATAACACCATTCTTATTCCTCTCTCGTTTTGATCAACCCCTTCCTCTTCTCACTGTTTCTGAAACAAATAATCTTCTAACCTTCTTGATCTCTGCAAACTCGATCATACAGAAAAGCCCCACTAGAAGACAAAAAAAACTAGAACCCCAAAAGAAAAATTCCATCAACTCATAGGCTTCATGGGTGAAGGCAATTTTTTATTCTTTGCAAAAATTCAGAAATCTAATAGGCCCGAATATATTGCTTTATTTTCTGAATCCAACTTTGTACTTTCAATGGTTTCTTCACTCTGATCCATTGCAATCACTTCTTTAAAGCAAACTCCTCTTGAAAGATGAGCTTCTGATTTTTAGACAGATATTACTTTTCTTTTAAAGATAAAGTATTGTATTGATTATCGACAGTCTAAGGTTCTGTACAAGAGGCTGTACAAGAACTGAATTACAGACCCCCCAAAAAAGTTCACCCTCAGAAAAATGAACCAGAACAAAAAGCATCTTTTAAAACATTGGACATAGACAACCAGATCCTCAGCTTTTCCACTATAAAATTAATTACCCCAGCCTCAGATTTGGCTTCCCCACACGACTGCAGGGGGAATAATAGACCACATCTGCTTCCCTTCTTTGGACATACCTTGGACTTTGCACCCATGTAACAATGAGATAATTGATTCCGGCCAGCACCAACTCAGATTTACAGCTCTGAGAAAATGCTACCACACCACTGCAGAGAAATTACAGATGGAAATGACTTGGCTTCTGGTTTTTAGATGGAAAAAACTCAGTTAATAGTTTACTATTAGGCCTCGTTGGATTTTTTTGTAAACGGGGGTGAGTAAGTTGGTCAGCACGAGTTAAACTCACCCACATTCATGTTTTGGTATTAGTGGGTCCCACAGAATAGAATGATTCCCAAGTAACTCAATTACTTGGGTAATTACTACCCTCTTGTCCACCCACTTGGGTAAATAACTTTCCCACCCATGGAGAAAATTGCTGAGTATTAACACATGATGGAACAGCATTGCCCCTTCAATATTATGGATAAAACGGTCATTGTTTAACTTTACCTGAAAAACAGAACACCAGCAAGAGAACTTACCCTGGTAAGTTTTTCCTATGAAACATTTGTCTGGATAAGTACATTTTCCAGGTAAATGACTTCCTGAAAAACCAACTGCTCTTTTTCTCAGTGAAAAGCCTCAACTTTGCTTTTTGTAGCCATGTGAAAAAAAAGGAGAAGAAACTAGTACTGATAACAGATTATTTGCCTTTGGGTGTTGTAACAAGAGACAAATCCGGGAAAACAAACTACTACTATGAGATTGGTCACCAACATGACTTGTTGCATATGATAGATGGGGGGAGAGAGGGAGAGGGAAAGGGAGGGAGAGAGAGAGAGAGAGAGAAGAGATTGTTGCAGAAATAATGAAAAGGAGAGAATTGACTTATTACAGAAATGGCATAAAGAGGGAGAAAGCAAGCGAATGAAGAATATAAATGATCTTGAGGAAAATTTGGCCTAAAAATGTCAAAAATTTATCCCGCTCAATGTTTTTACAATTACTTTCCAACCATAACCGAATTTGCTAATATAACAAACTTTATCATTTACTATGTAAAAAGTTCAATCTTGAAAGGATGCAGTAGAAGATCTTCGAAACAGGTACCCAGGTTATACCCATAAGAAAACCCGTGTATGATAAAGGACCTTCAATCCACTCTACAATTTCATCAACATAAAGAAGGTCGACGATAAAATAGAATTAAGAAAATAAAGGCAAATTTCTATAAGGAGAAGTAAACAGACAGAACATATAAATACCTCGAAGATCCCAAGGAGCAAACTTGTATATATCTATCTCTGAAATGGCTTCAAAGCGCAGTGGTTTTCCCAACACCTTCCTCTTGAGATAGTATTGTACGAGTTCACCATCGGTAGGATGGAAGCGAAAACCAGGCGGAAGGGTTGGCCTCGACATCAAAAACCACCTACAGAAGATCTCACTACTTGAAATGCTCAAAACCCAAGTTTGTCCCTCTTCCTTTTTCTTTTTTTATTGTTAAGTGTATTTTCTTCCTTCAAAACGTTAGAACGAAAATAGGGTTATCCTCTACCTTCTACAGCAACGAACAGAACTTTTTAACTTTACCTCAGAAATCCAACAATAGTCTTGACAGAAACAAAACTAAATCCACCAATCCATAGTCAAAATAAAACTTCAAGCAACCATTCTCATCGCCCCTTCATTATCTGTCAAGTCCAGTGTCGAAACAAGATTCGACGACAACACCACAACCTACCCCGGTTCATGAAATTGAAATCACAGCGAGAAAAGAACAGAAAGCTGATGCTGAAGTCAACAGACATTTGACGTGCAAGAGGAACCCTGTTTTGAACATTATTAGCTTCAAAATGCTAAACATAACAAAAATCACAAAAAAAAGAGCACACAGAGACCCATGGAAAATGAAAATCCTGAAGCAATCAAGCAGAGAAAATCATCGAAGTCGTCAAACTCAGAACCCCACCCATCCCCTGACCTAAATAAAACAAACTCCTTAAAAGTAAAAAAAAAAAAACAATTTATATCGTGAAGAAACACACACTAAAGAGGCACAGTTTGAAAGATCAATGATAACAGAAACATCTAATTGAGAAACCCGTCAAACCCGAAGTTGCGATAACATTTTGACGAAAGAAACCCTAGAACCACCTATGGAAATTACGATTACACCTGAGATTCGCGGTGATTCATATACAACAAACGATGCGAACAAAGGATAGCGCATTAAACCACATAAATAGCGAAGAAACACTCAAAACGCACAATTTTAATCGAATATGAAAGAAAAAGTAAACCTACCACCATGAGAAACCCTAGAAAACAAAAAAAAAAAATCCAGCAAAATCAAAGAAAAACGAGGTTCATCGATCCGATGAACTCAAAAAATATATCATAGAGAGAGAAATAGTGAGAGACGAAAGATAACGAAAGAAAGAAAACCCCAATTCTTACCCGAGAGGGATGAGATAACGAGAGAGAGAGAGAGGAAGTAACGCGAGAGAAGGAGCCGGCCTAAGAAAGAGAGAGAAGGCGAAAACAAGAAAGCGAGCTGGAGTAAGAGAAAAAGAAGAGGGAAGGGAAATCGAGAGGGAAAAATATATAGCGAGTGCCAGAGAAGTAAGAAGTGCCGAGCTGTATTTATTTTATTTTATTTACTTCCAGTTTATTATTAAGAAGCTTCCCTTACAATCTTCTTTTCGGCCCTTTTTTGTCAATTTCTCTCTCAAAAATTTACGTACCGGTGCCCTTTATTATAACTTTTTTGAGATCCTTTTCACACTTGGTGCAATATGATGCGCGAAGTATTGTCATGGTTGTCCATCCATGCATCATAACCGTACGATTTGATTAGCTGTCAGTATATTTCGTTAGATCAAATAATCTTGAACATTGGGGCTTTCCATGATTCTCTGGTTGTAAATGGTGAGATTGTATCCATCAAAAATAAAATAAAATGGTGTGACTGGGACCCATGGTTTGATGGATCATACTCGAAGGAGTATAGCCACGTCACTTATATTTAATGGTCATCCTTGGTTTAGTTTGTGAAAATTCTTAGGCTGTATTTGCTCCAACTTCCAAGTGCAAATATGAATGAAATACAAGTTTTGCACAAAGTTCAGTTTTACATATGTTTGATTGTAACCATCATTTCCATTCTCACTTGATACAAAATTGTATTTTTGTCTGATTTATACTCATTATTTTGGTAAAGGAAAATCTATTAAAAGTAACCGACAAAAACACTAAGGATAGTGTTGACAAAAAGACTATTGCTACTTGGGAGGGGATAGTGAGCAAATACATAAGATTTGAGGGTTGTGGCTAATTTAGCTATATTATGGGCTTTCATGATCGTAGACCTGTTAACAAAAATCAATTTAACATTCCTTTGGAGGAGAAGCTTTCATCTATTAATTCTAAGGAGTGTAAATCAGCTCCTATTGAAATACTGGAAATAAAACTTACAATTTTTCAATGTGGGACAAGTTTAAAACCGGGTTTTGTAAGAGAATAACTGATTTTTCAATCAAGTGTGCAGGTGCAATTTCTCATGTAATTGACCAATCAAACCCATTGGATTTAATCTCTTATGACATTAAAATCCAACACTATCCTTTTGCAAAAGAGTGATTGAGAGTATGAGAAATGAAGAAAAGTCATGTGGAGGCATCCATGGTACACGGATCCCAAGATCCATCAACCAATATAATATCTTCATGCAAGTCAAGAAGATTAATTAAGTTCGGCTCTTGGCCTGGAGTTTGCTGGGCTAATGGCTTGTAGTACTGGTTGGCTATTCTGAGAACAGCCGATGAGACTGGTTTTTCATTTTTGTAGATTGCATCATTTCTAGTATCCCAGATGGCTCGGATGATAGAAATGAGATGAGCCAAGTAGTGTTTGCTGCCCTCTTTCTTGATGGCATCTTTGTTATAAGATGACCACCATGTCAGGATGTCCTTTGAATTTGATTGCAAAAAGGCTTAAGGGTTTAGGCCCACTTGAGTTTGCAACCAGACAGCCAGTGAGAATGGGCATTGTAGGAAAAGATGAGTTTGCGTTTCCAACTTACCATCACAGAAGGTGCAGCTTGTATCATTGCTTTTAAGGGCTCCCCATGTTCTAGTTTTTGTTTTTACAACTTCGTGGAGAAATTTCCATGTGATTAACTGGCATCTGTGCGAGGCTTTGTTGGACCAAACTTTTGACCATTTGATCTCCGTTGCTTCCTCCCCTCTATTATTTTGTAGAAGGACTGAATAGGTCGATTTAACTATGAAGATGCCATTGTTTGATGCCAGCCATAGAAAATGATCCTTAAATGTCAAGTCACTGATGTAAATGCTTTGAATGGCTTTGATTGTCTCTGGCTCGAACCATTCTTGCAGTTTGTTAGAATCCCATGCTAAGCCTCCCAAAATTAGATCCTTGACTTATAGGCTAGTTTGAGGGGAAGTTAATCTTGTCCTTGGGATGTTGCCTAGGATTCCTGAAATCCAGTGATCCCTTAAGGCATCAACTGCACTGCCATTTCCTATTTTCCAGCATACATGTGCCTTGAGGTCTTTTAGCACTTTGGGTGAGCACTTCCACCACCATGAATCAGTTGCTTGAGCTTTACTATTGGCTAGACTATTCTCCTTCAAGTATCTTTGTTTGAGTTGGCGGGGCCATAGTGAGTCATATGAATTTATTAGTATTTAGATTTGTTTGGAGAACAAGGCTTTGTTGAAGGGCTCCATCAGCTTTAGGCTGAGTCCCACCCCCCCCCCTTTCTTAGGTTTGCAAATTTGGCTCCATTTAATGTTGTAGCCTCCATTTTTTTCTTTGTTACCATGCCACCAGAAGTTTCTTTGTACTCGGTCCAGTTTTTTGTAGACTATTGAAGGTAGGAGAGTATGTAGCGTTGTGTACATGGGTATGCTCTGAGAGACTGCTTTGAGAAGGGTTAACCGGCCTGCTTGGGATAAGAATTTGGCTTGCCAGGTGTCCAGCTTTTTGCTTACCTTGTCTATTACTTTACTACTTGTTGTTGTCTTGTTCTTACACTCCGACAGCTTGGCTCCTAGGTACTTTGAGTGGAAGGACATTGGTTTCATGCTTACTGGTCGGTCGAGTAGTTTTTGATGAATCCTATGGGTGCTTTTGCTTAATAGAATTTCATATTTGCCCTTGTTGAAGTGTTGACCCGATAGCCTTTCGAAGGTAATGAGGGTGCTCTTTATGTTTAATAAGGCTTCCGGGATAGCTCTACTAAGAATAATGCAGTCATCAGCTAATAGAAGATGTGAAATTGGGGCTGCATCTTTGGCAATTTGGATTCCTTTGATGCTTCCTTCTTGTTCACCTTTGTAAGGTAGGGCTAATGAAACCTACATTCCTAAGATGAACAAATAAGGTGAGAGTGGGCCCCCTTGCCGAAGACCCCTTTTTGTTGCAAAGTGTTCATTAGTATTACCATTGAGTTTAATGGAATAAAAGGTTGTGGATATGCATTGCCATGTCATTTCACACCACTCCTCTGGGAATCCCATTTTCCTCATTATTTGGATCAGAAAAATGCCAACCCATTATATCTAAGGCTTCGGTCTTCAATAAAATTTGCTTGGTTATTGTCAATTAGGGCATTTAGTATTGGTTTGAGCCTGTTTGCCATTACTCTTGCAATGATTTTGTACATTGTGGTACAAAGGCATATGGGTCTATAGTGTTCTACTGTCTCCAAGCCAACTTTTTTAGGGATAAAGGCAAGGAGGGTATGATTGATTTGCTTCAGGAGTTTTCTACTATAAAAGAAGTTTTGTACCATGGCAGTGATGTCACTCCCTACGGTGTCCTAGTAATGTTGAAAGAAATAGGCGATGAAACCATTTAAGCCAAGGGCTTTGCGTGGGGTCATTTGAAATAGAGTTGTTTTAACCTCTTCTGGGGTAGGTGTGGTGATGAGGAAGGCCTTTCTATCCTTAGGGATCTTCTTTAGGGGGAGGTCTTTAAGCCAAGCTTGGTTGAAGTCTTCATCTACTCCACTTACATCCAGGATTTGGTGTTTGAGAGCTTCTACAATTTGTTTGGAATTTGAGATCCATTCTCCTTGCTTGTTTCACATCCATCTACTCCACTCATTAAAGGTGCAAAATTTGCTTCTTAAAAGCTGATGCAAAATGAACAATGATTGCAAATATTCTTTTATCCTACACCTATCGTAATGAAAGAAAAAGCTCCCAAACAAATAAAAAAATAAATAAATAAACAAATAGGAGCGCAATTCAGACGAATTTGATTTGGGTTTTTGTCAATAAATCCAATCCAAAGGCCCAAGTCCAAAACAGTGTAAAATATTAATTAATGCCAATCACAAGATTGGCATGAGGAATTCCGTGCCAATCACAAGATTCACAATACACCACCTCAGTTCCATACGAATAGGATTCACATGTCGGGGTGATGTGGTAATATGATATATCAAGATATCTCTTATCTTATATTTGAAGTGGATATGGGATCTTCCATTTTCACTTTTTGTTCAAATTTGGTATTTTTCGACAATGAAATAAACGACACTTGTTCTATGAGTCATGGCACAGTCATCTTTGCTTAATGTAGAAAACCGACCAGGAGAGCATTCAGTCTATTTCAAAGGAATAATATTGGTCTAGACTTCAAATTATGGAAGCATCCAAAGATCCAAAGATGGACATGACCCACTGTCACCCGAGATTGTGGCAACCCAATCAAAATATAACCATGCTCGCCTCAGAAACTTCACATCATTATAAAAGGCATCAAAACGTCAATGCCGTGACCAGTTTTGATTATTTCATTTATATGACAATAAATAAGGTCATGTTTGGGTGTGCTTAAAAATATGTGTTTCTTTGGGCGGGTACCACACCATTAAGCATTTATTAGTGTTTGGGAAATAAGTCTGAAATATGTGTTTATCTTAAAAATAAGAGCTTATTTCTTAAGCTCAAATTTCTAGCTTTTTTTAAGTGTTCATACAATAAACATTTATTCAAATTTTTTCTCCCATAATTGTCTCTGGTGAATTTTTAGAATACCAATTATACCCTTTTACAAAAACAATTTTACAAAACGAAAGTAAAGTACTTTTATGAAAGCACTTCTATAAAAACACTTTTATGAAAGTGCTTTTGCGAAAGCACTTTTATAAAAAGTATTTTTATGGAAGTACTTTTATAAAAGTACTTTTACGAAAACACTTTTTAAAAACACTTTTACGGAAGTGATCTTATAAAAGCACTTTTGTCAAAGTACTTTTATGAAAGCACTTTTGTCAAAGTACTTTTATGAAAGCACTTTTATAAAAGTACTTTTACAAAAGCACTTCTATCAAAGTACTATTACAAAAGCACTTCTATCAAAGTACTTTTATTCATTCACTTTGGATTGGATATTTTGAAAATTTGAAAGAAAATGAAGGGCAAAAGAGTCACAATTGCTTATTTAAGTACTTATCAGAGAAAAAGACTACTAAAGACCCAATATATATAATTGGTCCTGCCATGTCAGCATCCCTCTCATTGCTTCAAACCCCCTTTCCTAATTTTCTTTTTTTTATTTTT